CCCAAAACCCCAAAACCCCAAAACCCCAAAACCCCAAAACCCCAGAAAACGTATTAAGGTTGAATTTTACAATGAATCTATTCGGATGCAACTATTTGGTTTATGAGTTTATTTCATAAAACTTGAGTCAATAATATGCTCTGCCATCTTAGTTTCCATTTGCTTTGAATACCTACTCTCAGTCTTGGAATGCTGAGAAGTTTTTATTGAAGAGCAAGTCCCTCTGTTATGGGAAGGATCCATATTTTCTCTTAAACCATTAGAAGTTCCTCTTGTACTAGAAAAGTAATGCAGTTCTTTCAAGTCCTGAGGTTGATAATTCTTTGGGGATATTATGATATTATTCTTCACAGGTAAATCTGTGCTACCTCTATTCCTCCTTCTTCGAGTGATAGGTTGGTCTTTTTTCAAAAATGTCCTGAAATCTCAAGTATTACTAACTACGTTAAGGTATTTCTTGTATGTCTTTGTCTGCTTCTTATCCATAAGCGCAGATAGTTGCTTAGAATCCTTTCTGTTCTTATTAATCTGTAATTGCAACAAAGGATCTTCTTCATTTCTTGATTCTCTTAGATTTGGGGCTTTCTCTACTGAATTAGAAAATCTCTTCATCTATGGAAGTTTTGTATAGAAATATACCTGGAGTTGTCGATATTCCTTATTCTGTTTCAAAATGCGCTTTACGTATAACTTGTTGCCTTTGCTGAGTCTTCTTTGATGATTTCGATTTGTATTTAAGTATTTCCCATATTTATTATTGCTCCTTGGAACTGATAACCTCTGAGGCTTCTTCTCTGTAGTCTTTGTTGGATTTTTCTGAGATTTTTCCTTTGTTGGGATTGAAATATGTAAGCCAAATAGCTTTTTCTGAGAGACATTTTGAGGCAACTTAGACATTGACCTTGTGCTTTGAGGCTAAAAATATAAAATCACTAATTACTCTCTGAACTTTATAAATATCAAGAGTTTTGCCTTCTTGAAGCCGTTCAAGACTTCCACTAATATGAATTACTAGGACTCTACTTCTTGACTTGTGCTTAGACTTTCTTCTAAAATTATGATGATCCCTTTTGAGCATGTCTTCAAAGAAATTTTAATTGTTATTTTATTACCAAGTACAATTGAATCAAAAGTTTACCTAGTTTTCATCTTTATATTATGGATCTTTTCCCGATGATTGCTTAGCAAACAAGGGTTGGAATTCACATAATCAGCTTTCTTCATATTTCAAATTGATTATCTGTTGTTTAAATTTTTAACTAAAATTTCGGGGTTTTGGGGTTTTGGGGTTTTGGGGTTTTGGGGTTTTGGGGTTTTGGGG